TGCCGCAACCGCCGCCGCCGCCGCCGCTGCCCATCACCACCACCAGCACCAGCAAAGCTCAACCGGAAACTCCTCTTATGGTAGTGGCGCCCATCAGCCTCAGTACGTGGAGTCGGCAGCACACCCCTACAGCACAGCCGTTCCCACTGCCTACCCTGCGCAAACCTGTTCGATGGAGTACTTTAGAGGGGGCAAAACTTCTTCAGCAGTTCTGGGCGGTCAGTGCCAGGAGTCAGCAGGCACCTACGCGAACATCTCCTTCAGCACTAGGGCCAAGTACCAGTTGGATTTTAACAACAACAACAACAACAGCAACAGCAATTCCAATGGTGAGGCGGTGAAACGTGAGGAGTCTGAAGAGCAAACGGCGTCAACGGATCATCAGCAGCAGTTGCTTTTGACCGGCGAAGAGTGCGCCGAAAATGGTCAAACGACGAACAACAATAGCAACAGCAACAGCAAAAAATGCCCGTCAAATGCTGTTGTTGGCACAGAGGATGTCGAATCTCACAATGGCGGTAGAAATGATGGCAATGACCACCACCAACAGCTGGCGACCATTTGCAATGCAGACAGCGACGATGACGTCGACTACGAGGACGATGAGGACAACGATGATGATGATGATCCCCTGGATCCGTCCTCCTCCTCTCCGATGGCCAACATCCGAACGCCCATTTACCTGTCGCCCAACTGCATCCTTTACAGTTACATTGGCAGTGACACGCTGGGCGCCATTAATGATCACTTTCAACGGTCCTTTACAATGTGGTTTCAGAATGTGCGAAATTCGAGCGAAACTAAAGGGGGCTCAGCAGCAGCAGCTGAAATCACTTCCTGCAACAGTGGTGGTAACGGAAAGTTTTGGTCACCACAAGCATCCTGCTACTCCAGCTACAAAGGTAACGACACTTCAGCACATTTATAACACTTTCTGCATTAAAAAGGGCTTGTTAGCAGTTTGCTTTCATTCAAATTAATTGTCGGCAAATGGAGTTTTCTGCGTACATTTTTAATTACACGCCGTTCTTTAGACAAAGGTTGTGCATTTTTAATTGAAAGTTGACAGTTTTAGATATGAACTTTAAAGCTTAAACGAGTGACATTCTTTCTAGACGTTTGAGTGCACGCCATTTCCGTTAAGTGCGGCAATGTTGCAGGCTTTAAAATTAATGGAGGGAATTAAAATGCTGCAAAATGCCGCCACTGCTAAAGTGTTGCAGCTATTAACTGTGCTTCAGGACAGTGTTCACTGATCACTGTCCTATCACTACTGTCCTATGCGCGCCCTAGTTAATTGTTTATTTGCCGATGCGCTGGAATGCGTAGGCTTTTCCGGCAGCAATGTGCCTCGTCATCTGATCTCCAACTCCCTGGTAGCTGTCATTTGTTTTGTGCATGTTAACAAAATGCTTTCCTTCTTGGTATCATCACTCTTTTTCCCCTCCTTTACACTGCCTACTTTACACCATCAGTGTTACTCCGTTTTATCGAGAGACTTGTCAGTGCCCAAATTTAATAAAATGGAACAGCAGCCCTCCCCTCACAAAAAAATGTCCTCGTCTATCTTTCATTTCATATGGCTACTTTGTGTTCCTACTTGTTTTTCTCAAAGTCCAATGACAACAATCTTTGGTCTTTTTTATTTTTTCTCCTTTTCTTCTTTTCTGACGACATTTCACGCTCATTTGTCCGTTAATTTGCTTTTGGCTATTCATTACTTCGGTCGAACATTCATTGCAGAGCCGCTGTTAAAATGAACGGACCCGAGCATTACAGGCATTGTTATTAACTTGAGGAATTTATCAGAAAACAAGCCAGTTTTGGGAAGCAGAAAAAATGCCAATTGATGTTTGTGCTTTGCAGTGTAAGCTGGCACAGCCAAGTGTACGGCATGCCTGCACTTGTTCTCTAGTTTTTTGCCTCGTTTTCTCTGAAACATTCCACAAAACTATCATCGTTTTTATTCCCATTTTTTTGGTTGTTCATTTGCTCATGCGCCTAATGTGGGCACATTTTGAAAGGGCACCAGAGCCAGAATAGAGCGGAAAGTTGAACCTATAAAAGGAAAAATACTCTACTTGGTGCAAAAGTACCAGAATGGGAAAATGTAACAAAGTGTTCACTTAATTTTGTTTAGTATATTGAGTAGCTAACAACACATGACAGTGCATAGATTAAATTGCATTTTTGCAAAAAAAGAATTAATTTGTTTACCTATTTATCTTGTTCTAATATTGTAACATTATTAAATTGAACGATATTTAAATTTATATTGCAAATTGTGTTTGCTTAAAAATTTGCTTTGCTAATGGTTTTTCAATAAACTATTGTTTATTAATTACTAAAAGTTAAAAACCCATGCACAAGCACTACCGCGTTTCAGTAGTTAATTTGCATATTCAAATAAATATGCCTTATCAGCGGTCAAAGGTCAGTTGTGTGCACTAGAGTAGCAAAAGCTCAGTCAGTGAAGCATGGTCAGACAACCGCTACCCAGACTGACCATCTCCACTTCTGCAGCCTGTGTTAGCAGCTAATCTAAATAGTCTATTTAGTCCACTTGCACGTCGCATTCTCTCTCTCTTTCCTTTGCCACGCTTTTAATCTAATCGGCAAACGAGTGAAAAAAAAGATAGAAAGTGGCTAAACGCAGACCAAAAAAAGCTGACGACCGTTTTGTCCAAACCCAAACAGTGCTATCTCTTTGTCTACCTTTCTCTCTCATTTCACAAATGTCTTCTTTCCTTTTCCTCTCCTCTTCTCCTTTTGCAGATGTCCAGTCACAGTCAATTGGAGGCAACGGCGACGCCAACTCCAACTCCAACTCCGCCAGCAGCAGCAGCAGCAGCAACCACCGAGCCAGTATTGATAACGTGGTGGCCACCACCACCACCACCACCACCACCACCGAAGTGACAGGGGCCGATGACTCTGAGCAGCAGCGTCAGTCCTCCTCTTCTTCATCT